TGAATAGAAAGGAGAAGAAAGCAGGGATGGTTGGAATTTTTTGTCAGTGAGGTGGACTTATTCAGGTTTAGCCTGTGGATCTAGAGGATAAGTTCTAATAAGAACTTCATGGTCCCTTCATAGGCAATATGAAATACTTGTGAGGGAGGGAAATGTGAAGGAAAAAAGGAATCATCATAGCCATATTCCTGTAAGAGGGTATGAAGCTGTAAATTAGAAAATATATTGTGTGGATCCTAAAGGAAAATAGCCAGTAATAAAGATTCAGTGCAATTGGTCTAACACAGTGAGTGTAATGTATTAAACCGAACTCGCAATGACAGTAATTTCTGGCTCTTTGCTATTACTTGGCACAGTGACTTGTAAAAGCTGGATCTCTTTACAGTGTACTGCCTCACCATCTAAGCAGTCATCAGAGGAGGCGAGAAAAGGTTTGCTAAAAATTATTATATAATTAGAGAAGGGTATTACAAGGCTAAAAGTGGCTTTCTGTTTTCAATAATCTCTAATCAAATGTCTGTCTGGCTATGAAGAATCTGAGGTAGTCCCTTTTGTAGCAGACTACATCTTAAAAAATGTCTATAACAACTGATTGTTGTAAAGAAAAACATGTGGATGATATCTTTAGATAGACACTTTAAATTTGTATGTATATTGAAAAAAAATTCCAACAACTTTTAATTGTTACAACTATGGATAATGAAAATAGAAATGGTAGAATACTGGTCTGATTAATGCAATGGATATGGATTTTTCTCATTTTTCGTTTTCAATCCTACAATTTTATCTTGGGAGCAGAGATATCTCTAGTCTTTATCATTAGTAGAAAGATCTAATGCAAGGGATGCTGCTGGTGGATTTTTATTTTTGCTATTGTGGCTGTGGTGGATTTTAATATCGCTGAAATATCTTTATAAAAATGTAGCTTGAAATTTTACTCACTTAGCAAAGGGCTTTTCTAGAAAACTACCATGTCTTAATTTTATTCATCTCCCTTTGTTGTGGTATTTTTCTTGATACTTGAATTATCAGAGGTGAAGAATTTTCAAATTAAATATCAGATTTGTGGATGTGTGAAAGTTTTGGCTTGTTTTTTATCATCCTTTCAAAGATGTTCACTTCAATTCTGAGGGCTAGCTAAAAGCTTGCTTGGACAAATTATACTGTAATCAATGTTTACAATGATGTAAAGTTTTTGTAAGCTGCCTCAGGATTTGACTGTAGTGGAGATGCTTGACATGGGCAGTAAATATTTTGTTCTCTAGGAGCATTTGTTCTTTTGTTGTTTACCTAAGTACTGATTTGAATTTATTAGAAAGGATTTCCCTACTTTCCCCAAATCTGTCTCACAAGACATTAGTTTAAGGAGAGACAACCAGCAGGTAGTGTGAATGAAGCTTAATAGCATGGCTTTGGTATTTTGGAAAACAGAGATCTGCAGTAATAACTGCACAAATTGTGCAAGTCTCACTTTCAACATTCAATGTATTGTGTGTAATGCGATCTGTAGAAAAGGTTTAGGAAGTTAAAAGGGTTTTTGCCAAGGCTGGATTTTTGCCTAGTGTAACTGATTTTTCCAACGTCCTTCTCTAGTTAATTGCAAAAAAAGTGAGTTTTCTAGAGGCTCATTCAGAGCAGGCAAATGTATCCCATTGAGCAAAAGGAAAATTAGCCTAATGGAGCTAAAATTAGCTTTTTTGAATACTTTTCTAGGCACCTCAAATCTTCAGAAATTACACTTATGTCAGATATGGTAAAAGGGAGAAGCAAACCCAGAATGCACGATGGCAAAATAAGATATAATTGTAAAAACACAGATGTCTGCTTGCTAGATTAATTGATCTTTTTCCTAAGCTGCATATGTAGCTTTCATTTCAAATGCTGAAAAGCAATATTTTTGTTTGATTTCCTCTTGTGAGGAAGCAGAAGGATAATCTCTGTGCTGGTTTGTATGGACAAGTTGTGCACAAAGGTGCACTGAGGGAGCACTGGAACTTCTAGAACATGATAGCATTAAAATCGCTTGTACAGCATTAACCTGCCTGCTTTGAGTGTTGCAGAGTGAGCTGCGAAATAGACCCTAGCTTCATTTATTGTGAAAGTTTGAAGGAGTGTGTTGGATAAGGCCGTGCGTTTTCATTGAAAAATGAAATAAGTTTCTTACAAATCTATTTAAATCTTGACAAAACTTAGTCGTCTTCCCTCTTTCTCAGAAAATGGTTAAGCAGATTCAGCAACTTCTTTCCCAAGAAGAACTAAAAATTAAGTGTAATGTGGCACCCTGCACAGAAAACGTCAATTCAAACAATTAAGATTTAACAAGGTTATAAGGAACTCCTTTGTGAACTATTTGGGCTTCATTAATCATTGTTTGGTGCTTCTAGCTCTGTTTAGTGGTATCAGTGAAGTGTTGGCTACAGTAAACATGATTTCTTTTTTCGTCTAGTCCCTAAGCTGTTAGGAGCACTGAACATGCTCTCAGAATAGAACATTTATTTTCTAAAATAGTCTCTAGCTGGCTTTCTTCTGCTCTTTGTTTCATTCATGATATGCACTCTGAAAAGCGTAGGGGTTTCTCTCACTGATACAAATGTAGGATGAGTTGCCCAAAGAGCATCAGTTTCAGAAAAAGGTCACTGCCCTTGTGAATCTGCTGGCTTTTCTTGCTTTCATTTACAGCTTCAGTATGTTATACACATACATAGGCCCATTCCTCTGCTGTCAGCGAACATCTGTGAAACCTGCAGGCCAAGAACGTGCTTCCTTTTCCCCATAAAGGATGAAGAAGAAGTGACACAGAGACATAACGATGTATTACTTCTGTCTGGCCTTTCCTCAGCAGAGGATTTAAACTCTTCGATGAACTGTATGCTCTCATAATGATGTCACATGATGGATTTCTTGGGCTTTGCTTTCTACAGTTTGCTGCTATTAAAAAACAAAACAAAAAAGCCAGTTCTCAGGGCAACAGTCAACCGCTTTCATCGGAAAGCCATTCTTTTTTACCCCACAAGTCCCCACACCTTTTGGCTATTGCAAAAAAAAAAAAAAAAAAAAAAAAAAACTCCGCTGTGCTATTACAAAAAAAAAAAAAAAAAAAAAAAGAATCTCGGCTGCAACCAGAAACAATTTCCTTTGTTTCACAACCCTGGCTCATTTCCTGAGCAGGTTTTTTGGTGGTTGAAATGTGGCAGTAGTCCTATGGAAAAGTGTGTGTATGTGCATAAGCATATTTGTTTTATCATATTTACAGTAATACAGAATTTGAGTTAGGACTGTAGCCACAGTGCTAATTCCGGCAATTTGTAGCTTTGGGGTGCTTAACCTAGTAACAACTTTTTTTTTTTCACTTGACACTTGTGGGGGAATGAGGAAGAATTAATTCATAAACTGTATTCTGAGTTGGAGTATATGTTAATAGATATTATTTTGTGAAATAAGTATGTTCTCATTTCTGGTTTTGGTAGCACTGAATATACAACTACAGATCTAGAAAATGTATCTAGCTGTTGCTTACTTACCCTTACAAGGTTCACAGATCCTGTGAAAGTGTGCCTCATTCCTTTCCTTTCACTGTTGTATTTTAATGCTTGATTTTGACCAACCTTACTGCAATAAACCAAGAAGGTGAACTGATTTCCCATCCTGGTGAAAAATTCGACTATTGCTACTTCACTGGTGCTTTGTTTCTAATGCCAAAATGAGCTAGTAGGCCACTGTATTAAGGATGGTGTAGCTGGGTATTAGATTAAAGCCTCAGAATAAGGGTGAATCAATGACCTTAACTTTAGGGCTTCTCTCTGCTCTCCTCATTGGTGCTCTCTCTCTGTAACGTCTGCAGGCTGCATACAGCATTCCTATGTTCTGTGTAACCAGCCAGAAGCAGCTTGTGATCTTAAATGCTTTAAAGAGAACATTTGCAGCATGACATTACTGTGTACGTGGCTAACATGCAGCATAATGGAACAGGGATTTTAATATTTACAGCATGTTACGTAAATGCTGCCCTTCTGAGCATTTTCTAAATCCTCTTAGCTCTTAAGTGACAGCTTTGATTCTTTTTTTTAATAAAATCAGTCTTTTCATTTATCCAGCTAAGTTTGGTAAACAAAAGATGTTTAATACTTCCTTTCATATAGGCAGATTCTTGTATTTAAGGGTTTATCTTTGTGCACTTAAGCTTATTAGGTTCCTGGGTAACTATTTTTAAAAAGCTGACTTTGCAACAGCAGTGCATGGTGCAGAGTTGGCCTTTGGAATTTTCTGTGCTTTGCCAGTGCATACTGTGAATAGATAAGCTCCAAAGGATTGCCATAAGCAGAGCAGTGTGGGTTATGGTATGGAAATGTCTCATGGATTTGAATTGCATTTTGATATACAAATAGTAGTGAAGATTTTGGGGTTTGGTTTTTGTGTGTGTGTGTGTATGTATGTATGTATATACATACTCCTTTTAAAAATTGAGTGAGATGAGGAATTGTGCTGTGGGAAAATAAAAAGAACGAAAATTGTGGCAAAATTCTGGATAGCTATGGGGATTTTTTCTTTAAAGCTCTAGAACCATGAGTTTGTACTGTGCTTTGATTGTGCTCTGTCATTTATTTTTAGTGAAGGGATAGATGCAGATATTCACAACATCTGAAAATGCTTCTGAAGGATGACAGAAGCGTGATGCAAAAGAGCTAACACAGGCAGAAAGGTGGTGGGGAGCTCCTAGCATGATTTGGCTCTTGGTATTTCAGTATGTGTGAGATTTGGGGTGTCAGTTTGGGGGAGGGTTTTTTTTCCTGGGGAAGCAAGACAGATAAGAAATGGGTTCAAAATGCTTGTGAGTCATTCAGAAGCATGCTCTTTGCGAATTTAAAAGCAAAGACGTCAATGTTTTTGTGGCAGTGTTATGTATGGAGAGCTTAGAGTGTTTGCCAGGTATACAGTTGCAGAGGATGGATGGATATTTTGTGTGTGCAGTATGTTTGCATTTACATTATTTTTGCTTGTAGATGACCGTGGAAGAAGTGATGACTACTACTGCATATCTGGATCTCTTTTTGCGTAGTGTTTCAGAGCCAGCTCTCCTCAAGATTTTCCTCCGTTTTATTTTGCTGCACCGACATGAGAATGTGCATATCCTAGATACGCTTACTAGCCGAATCAACACACCATTCCGGGTAAGACACGCAGGAAGAAAGTTCAGGTACTCAGCATGGATGTAGGTTAAATATTTAAATGGGAGTTTCCCTATATTCATTCCCTATATTTAACTAGGAATTTTCTCCCCCCACCCAAATGTGTGATTTCGCCACCCACTCCATTATTTTTTTTTTTTGTGCGTGTGTGTGATGATATTTAGCTACCACTATACTAAGTTGACAAATGCGTGAGGTGGTTTCACACATACAGGAAATGGGATAGAGGGAGATGAGGGCTTCTGGAAGTCTGGATGCTGTTAGAAGACTAAAGGTAAATTTGGAAGCATTTTTATTCTGGATACTGCTGAATTAGTGCTGCCAAAGATAACTCACCCTGGGACTTATAAATATACTTGTGGTGAGGAGCATTTTTGATCTTTGGAGTTTTGCCAAGCAACAAGCATTTTCAAATAGTCCTTGTGGGAGATGATGGAAGCCCTGTAAGGATGTCTCTAAATTGATCCAAGTTGTGAACTGCAGTATTGCCAATATATTTCTCAGGAATCAAGTCTGTATTGTTGTAGCATGTTTGCTTAACTGTGATGTTGCCTGCTTTCTTCTTTGATTAAAAGAAGGCGCTTTCTTGCTCAAGTGATCGGATTGCTGCTTCCTTTTCTTTGCCTTCACTCCTCTGTGTAGTAAGGTTTATTGCAAATTTACAGTGAGCTCCTTCTCAGCCTAGGCACAATGCACCACAGTGGCTGGAGAGCTAGCTGACAGAGATAGTAGTTACCTTTGCTAACAGTTGGATCTTCTGGCAGAGAAAATAACTACTTGTTGCACTGGACTACCCTTCTGAGCCTTGCTTGGCTGGCAGTCTTGGCTGAATCTTGTGTGACGCACAGCTTCATGGATGAAATAAAGAATATTGTTTTAGTGCAGGTACAACAAAAGCCAGAACACCAGCATGTGCATTAAATTTGTGTATTAGGGACAGCAGCTACATCTGAAATTTGTTTTGAAATGTGAGTCCATGCAAATGCGGATATATGCTGCTGTTACTGCATCTCTAAGATGGATTAACTCTGAAAACGGAAACAGCTTCTGTCGACAAAAATGCAAATGCTGTTGTCTCTGTTAATCATTAATTACTGTTCCACAGGCAAACGAGATGGGAATTGTAAAGAATTCTGCAGCCCTGAGCAACTCAGGATCTCAGCCAAAATGGTTCTGTGATGCTAAATGAGTTTTCTGCAGTATAGCTTGGCCAAGTGCAAAAGCCAGAACGGCAGGCCTTCTGTGTTTCCATAGCACAAAAGCTGCATACGTTATTATTGATGAAAATACTTATTAATAATTCACAGGGTTAAACTTATGTACAGACAGGTGGCCAAAAGAACTTGTAAAAATACTATCCTCTTTGTCTCCTGAGCATATATTAAATCTTTTCTTTTTACAAAATTCAAAAATAGGCTAGCTTTACTTATTCAGATGATTCCTGATTTGCAATATGGTTGCAAAGACAAATGAGAAATGTTTCCCTATAAACTGAAATTTCCTAAATACAGGAAAACTTAAGGCAGTAGCAAGTTTTTTTTAACTTTCCAATATGAAGAAAAGTTAGACTTGGCTCTTAGTAAATTTCACAGAGGAAATGAGAATTTCCCTCGGTCCCCCGGCTAAAACGCACCTTTCATGAAAGGATCTGGCTTCTTCCAAAAGCTTGTTGTGAAGCTCTTCAACTCCTATTCCTATTAAGAACTCCAGTTCTGGTTATTTCTTCTTCTCTTGCCCCTTTACTTTCTCCATCTATTTCTGTAGACATGAGGTCTTGGACTAACTAGCACCTTGCTGTTGGCTCCTAGTACAAGAAGTGGACAGTGGTGGCAGGGCAATGAGTTTGAGCTCGACTTTGCTTCACTGCAAGCCAGCTCATGTGTGTTCCCTGGTTCTCTTCTCTCTGCTTTTTTCCTTTCTCTTGTTCTTCGCTGTGTGTTAGTTCAATGACCAAACTAGGGAAGGCAATCAAAGAAACTTTTGCTTTTCACAGGCTATCAAGTGAGAGTTACTTAAACTTTGCTGTTTAACATTTCCACAGATATAGCTACCAAGTAAGGGAAAATACATGTATGTATATGTATTTTTCAAGAAATATATGCATTCATCTGGTCTTGGTCACCATGGGTAGCTAATCATATTGTAGGGGAGCTGAGTCACTCATCTGAAAGAGAGAACTGGAAATGGTGAAACAAAAAGTCTTTAAGTTGACATTCTTGAGAAAGCATGGGCTGGAAAGAGGAACATAGCAACGTCCTGCTGCAGAGCTAGAACAGTGTTTTAACAGTGGGAGTAAGGGAAGAGACTGCAAAGAAGAGAGGAAATTTCATAGTGGAGGAGAAGCCATGCCCAGGCAGGATGCTGGATTTAATCATGAATGAATTACAAAGGATGTTCAGTGACTGAAAAAATGAGGTAGAGAAAAATCTGTAGCTTCTTCCTTATTTTGTCCTAATCCATTTCTTTTGTTAGCTACTGAAAAGTGCAATTAATTTCATATATTAATTATCTGAGTTTACGTAATTAATATAGGGAGAGGCAAGATTTAAACACCAACTTGAAATGCTAGCAAAGGGTCAGCTTATGCTTAAATAATTCTCACAAGAGTCAGCCTGGTCCTGGAGTCTAAGCCAGCTGTGAAATACTGCTTCTAGGAAAGAGCAGTGCAGGAGAAGGTGCCCAAAGAAATATGCATTAACAAGCATGGAGATGATGAAAACCAGTGAAAGCTTACAGCTCATGCTTCTACCATGTTGGACATAACTGTGCGGTCTAGCAAGCATCTGGCAGGTAGAAATGTACTGTACGATAGCTTTGAAAGTGTTTTATGACTAATTAGTGACCAAAAAAGCCAGTAGAAGTCCATGTTTCTAGTCTGTCCTAAAGCCAGTGTGAAAGTAAGGATGCCTATCACAGAATGGGTATGATTTTTGTCTCTGCTGAGTGTCACTACTGAAATTCCTACTTATGGGTGTATTCGATCAGACCTTTGCCGAAAAGGCAAGCAGAAAGGATCTTCATGCCTTGCTATGGTTCCCAGCTGTTCAAATGACCTGTAGTGGAGGGATCGTGAACACTTCATATGGAGATTCTGATAAAAATGACTTGTTTAGTCCTGGTCTATGCCAGTACATTAAGCTATAGGTGTTGAAGCACTCAGCTTCTTAATGTGTAGAACATTAATTATTCTTTATACTTAAAGCAACAGAAACTTGAGGTGGTTATAACTTTTCTTTCAGAAAAGACCTTTATTTGGTTCAAATTCTATGCCAGAGGTAAAAACTAACACACTATCTTGGAAGTTACAGGGTTTACTTCATGCTGAGTTAAATTAAATTAATAAATTTGAATAATATTAAAGACTGGTAAATTACTGCTTTTTTTTTTATTAGCTTATTTGAAGGAAGATTCTGGATTGTATTTTGTTAAAATGTAACATGTTATGTGTATAGCTCTAGACAACTTTAAAAAAAAAATCCCATAGGGGTGCTGACAAAATGAAATATCATACTAACAGTATCTTATAAAGCATGATGTTCTGGCAGAGCCATTTTGTAATGTAGTATGCAGGGAAGATTGCAAAAGTACAATTTCCAGATGAAAAACTGACAACATTTATCATTTTCCAGCTCTGTGTGGTCTCCTTGGCACTATTCAGAACGCTCATTGGTTTGCATTGTGAAGACGTGATGTTACAACTAGTTTTAAGGTAAAGCCCAAACTCCTTTTTCCACTCTTCATCCTAATTCTGGGACATACAGTCTCTGCCTATGGATGCAGAGCTGGATGAGAGTTCTCCAAGAGAGCAGAAATCCAAGCAACTACAGAGATAAGAATATTTACGATCCTGACAAAAGTCTACCAGACCTGAAGAAGTGTGATTTACATCCTGTGATCTTTAGGAACAAGAGTTTTTTCTTGTGATTTATTTCTATAAAAGTGAGAGAAGGGAAGCTAAGAATATATTTATCACCTCCAAACTGCTTATTCCCTGCTTCTAAATGCATAATTCTTCTCGCCTGCATCTTTTCTCTAGAGTATTATACACTGTGATACAGAGCTATATACTCGTTTGCAGCTTCCACCTTCTTTCTTGTTGTTTTCCACCTCTTTGGTTCCTCTCTCACCAAGAATACTGCAGGTTCCTGAACTGTTGTAGGTAGATTGTTATGTAATGTACTAAATGCATTGATTATTTTTGCTTTTAACTGATGGTTCTATGCATTGCTTCAGAACACTCACTTATAATTTTGGTGTGTGTATTAGATAAGAATTGATTATTTATTTGGAAATATTGGTGTGATTAAATTGGGCTTTTAGCACCGTAGATCACATGAATATTTCACATACTGTCTGTCCCTCCACCCATAAGCATTAAGGTGAAATTCCCTATAGCTCTGGGTGTTGTGCCTGGGAATGCTGTTAGGAACTCTGTGAACTCAAGTATGTTGCCACTCTAGCAGCAGTAGAGTGCTGTATTTAATTTTTTTGTTTGTTTAGGGAATCCTTTAGAATTTGTTTGCATTTTAAATGGCAAAACATCAGTCCAGTTACCACTGAGGCTCTTAATAAAGTGCTCTTAAAAAGTTGAACAAAAGTGCTCTAAAGAAAACTGTGCTTCCTCTATTCCTTGTACTGCCGATAGCTTATTCCCTCCTCTGCCTTGAGACCTCAGTCTTGATCTAGTGCAGTAGAACACCTTGATGACCCTTCCCTCCTTTTTGCTGGCTGCTTGCCTGGTGTATGTAAACTGTCTCTCTCTGGATTTCCCAGGAAAACAAACAAATTAAGGATTCTGAGACAGAATTCATTCATAGTGGGACCAAACCACCCTGCTGGCCGTTGACATCTGCCCATCCCACGCTTCCTCCATCTCTACTTACAGCAAGTTTGCTCTGACCTGCAAAGGATTGTTCACTTCCCCGTTCTGATGCAACTGATCTCCTATCTCTACTCATCTTGACAGTTTCTCATCAAACCATAGCTTCACAATATAAAGGGTCAGGGTTTCATGATCTTGTCAGTGATCCATATTCTAAACCTCTCAAGATTATTATTACTGTATCTTTTATTCTGGAGAAGACAGGAAGATGGGAAGGGAATTTTGTATATTGTTGCTTTCTCTAACATGAAAGGACGATGAAGTAATGCTAGACACTGCTGTTTCAGGTATCTGATCCCCTGTAACCACATGATGTTGAGCCAGCGGTGGGCTGTGAAAGAGAGAGACTGTTACTCCGTATCTGCTGCAAAACTGCTTGCCCTGACACCAGTCTGCTGCTCCACTGGGATCACCTTGACACTTGAAAGCCAGGGAAAAGATTATATTCTATGGACAAAGGCAGCACAAACTAAAGGTAATAGGTGCTCAGGGGAAGACCAGATCATGAAATAATTTTGATTTGGTAGCAGCTCATGGGAGGAGGTGGGGAAAGATAGGAGGGGGAGGAAATGTGGTGGGCAACAATAAACTGGGCAAGCCTGGACTGGAAAGCTTATTTAATTCCTTCCATGTGTCTAGGTCTATTGAAACCTTTTTTTAACAGCTATCTGACTTGAATATGCATTCATGGAAGTAATGTACAGATACATGACTGCAACTCTTGCTGCTTCAGAGTGGACAGTGCTGTTTTAAGGTTTGAATGCGGGCTGGTCTCTTGGAAATCTTGAGTTACAGCTCTGTCTTGGCAATAGGAACAAATAATTTATGTTTATGAGCAAATCTCTTAATCTTTGTGCTTTGATCTTCCTGCTTTACTGGATGGTTGGGACTAAAGACTCTACCTGCCATGTATTAGTCCCTTGCTAGAGAACTTTTTGGGTTGTTTTATTATGTCATGGTATGAGTAATGTTCTTTACTTTTTTTCTGAATCTACTTGCATTGTGGAATATGGAAGAGCTGTGGACATCAGCTACTTGCAGTACTTGGGGGAAGCTCAAGAAGCCATCCTCCAGTGTCTGAAAGATTGTAAGGTTTGGTCTGCCTTGTATGATGGAGTAAACCCTGATCCAGACACCTTTATCCAAACGCTTGCTGAGGAGAACAGTACAGATGTAGAACACCCCATGTTTCGGCTCCAGCAAAGGACACCTAGCATGTGTAGCTCCTCTCAAGTAACTCCATTCGGTGAGAAGATGCAGTTGGAGCTAGAATGGGATGATAGCTATGACACAGGGATTTCTCCTGGTTCTGATGTGAGCTCACTGCAACCGTATGATGACCTGGGAAGCGCAGAGATGCAACCACCTGCAGAGCCACCAAAACACATTCAAGAAATGAAAAAAAATGCCATAATGCTCATCAAAGGATCTTACATAGAGGATTCGGACTTTCAGGATGATGTTATGGTTTACAGGTTATGTGCCCAGAAGGATACTCAAGATGATGACAACTCCAAGGAGAAAACTTTAAATGTAGCCAGAGAACATGAGGTCCAAAGCCAGACTGTAGTCAATGGGCCTCTTGCAAAGAGCCAGCTGGAAATAGACTTGGATGAGCACAGTAAGAGAAATTCAAGCTTGACTCAAGGTGTAATGAAAGAACAAATAAACCAGAAAATGATTGAGATTGATCCACAGCCAGACTTAGAGTTGAAGGTTTCTCCTCAGGAGACATATCATAACTTAAGTGTAAGACTGCTGAGCACAGATAGTGAGGATTTCATTGCACAGTATGACAAAATTATTAAGGAACTGGATCCAAACAGCGCAAGCTTGGAGGAGCAGAAGTTGGATACTCCTGACCCTGCCTCTCCTGCGGAAGAGGAGGAGGACTTTGAGAATTTCTCAGCAGACACCCCTTCTGCGGAGAGCATGTCATCTCCCTTTGGACCAAAAGAGGATGTCTCTCCCAAGCACGCTGCGAGGAACCAGAGTGCTCCATTTACAGGTAGAATGTCCTGTTAATTACATACATAACAAACACAGGAAGGCATGGTGATTAAAGGTGACCAGATGAGATCACACTGTGCAGCACACAGCACAAGCATAGAGCAAGGAACAGTCCTGGCACTAAAAAGGGTATAGCCCAAATAGCTGAGACCGGTCCAAGGAGAGTGAGGGATCCAACGTGAAAGTAGAGCAGAGCAGTCGGTGTGGTGACAGAAAATGGTGGTTGCTCAGGGGGTTTTTTGGCTGCTTTTTTTTGTAATTGTTTAAAATCTTGAGCAGGGGTTATGTTGTTTGTATGTGAGAGCTCCATCATTCTAGAGAAAGCTTTTGCAGTCGAAAGGGGATTGGCGTAACTGTTCTAATATACAGAGCCCAGGTAAATAATTTGTTTCTGGTGGCTTTCTCTGATCATCTCTGATGCTATGGATGCAGTATCACGTTGCCATTTTTTTCCTCTCTGCTATTTCACATTTTAGCACGAGGTGGCAGCACTGGTGCCATGGCTGTACGTGCTTGCCTCCATGCTCTGCCTTGGCAGCCTGTTCCTCCAATGTCAGGTCTGCCCTTGCTGTTGGTATGCTTTTCTGTCTTGTGGCAGGCAGCAATTTAAGCTTGGTCTCCGCAGACTGTCCAAGCCATTCAAGGAATGACAGTGCTACCGGAGGTCAGAGTGGGCTTTTGATCTGTATTTGTACAGCTCCTTGCACTGCGGGCTCCTGATCTTTAATCAGGTCTCCTAGGTACCACAGTAATGCAAATAATAAAGAATAATAATTTAGCTAGGTTTCCTCATCCAAAACAAAACCTCTGAAAGATGGCTTCTCGTTCATTTGAAAGGAGGAGGAAAACATTCATTTGTGCCCATTGAAATGCAGCCCTTTCTGGTTAGCTGTGGTCAGCATGCCTGGCACCATTTCTTAATTGAAAAATCCAGCCTGTTTTTCAATCAATTTGCTATTTTTGCTGTGGTGACAATTTCCTTGTACCAGAAGCTAATCGTATTCAAACCTTTCTGTTTCCCCTTATCTGCTGTCAATCGTAGCTCAAAAATGTTGTCCCTGTCTCTCATTCTTCATCTAGTCCCTCCCTCCATTTGTTCCTTTCCAAAAATGCCACACCAAAACCAACACCCCCCCCTCCCCCCCCACCACCCAC